GTAGATCAAGAAACAGAAGTATTTTCATCCCACTGCCTGACTTGACTGGTATGCTATCTGTTTTTCATCAGCCATTAAAAACTGAGGCTTTAAACTTTAAGCAAAAACATGTATAAACATTTGTGAAAAAAAAACAAGCTCACTGAAAACAACATACTTTGGAGATGCCTTGCAAAAGAGGGATTTGGTCTAACCTCTCAGTTCCACAGAACTATTTTATTTCCAAAGAAACTCCAAACAGGAGTGGGGAGGTACTCCCGGGACTTTTACAGTTTTCTGAGAAATAAACAGAGTTTATTTCAGTGTTTTTAAGAGTTACATTTTTAGTCTACTGGGACTTCAAAACAGAATTGAATGTGCCTCTGCATGCCACAATCTTTTATAGATTAACTACCTTCCCCCTCTTAATATACACACTTGCCCCTGCTGCAGGTCTGTTTCCAGCCTGGCCTGGAATCAGCAATAAAAAAGTACTTTTACATGGAAAACTCACGAGCAGAGAGCACTCTAAAATTTCTGAAGTACCACGGCCTAGATGTCAATTTGGAAATGTATTTTACCAAATCTGTTTTTAAAGAAATCTTCCCAACATAATCTGTTATTACAGCCTCTTAGTTGAAGCAATGCAAGACTCGAGCAAGATCAACACTGAAACACTCACCGATATACCCCTTATTAGCAGAATCTGCTGCAGGTGCAGCAAGTTCCTGGAGAAACAAAAAAGACAAGATACGAATGGTCATTTTCTTGCCAGTTATCATTACAGTGAGATTTACAAAAGCCATTTTCAATCAGTCCTTCTCTGTAAATTTCCTATGGAAAAACTTTGTACAGGGGTGTGCAGTGATTTGGCTCAGAATTCATGGCAGGCCAGCAGTAAAGTTGAGGCTACAAGGCACTTGATAGTCCAGCCAACTAATCCCCAGTGCACTTACTGATCAATAAATATGCAGTAACTTTTCCATTACATAGCTTTTATCTAGAAATAACAAGAAGTTTAGACTTGTATACATCTTTTCCCATGCATGATGGGCACCACAAAAATACATGTTCTCAGACTATACAGGTAGAATTAGGTAATTAAATTCCATATTAACTTTCACATCTGAAAGTAACTGAGGTGAAAGACTAATTGTGTCTGACTGGTACATTACTGTAACTCTGGGCAATTCATTCTAAACACCAATGCACAAATTCTGTTAACAGATAAATTAAAATAAAACACAGCCATACCGCTTTCACTCCACAAATCACCGTGGTATTTCCTAACTTCACCAGGGCAGAACCATCTGCAGTTGTAATTGAACCTGAAGAGAGAAAGTATTGTTCAATAAAATTTATTTTTCATTCAAAGAGCATTAATTAACACCCATCTTCACAAAGTGTTAACTTTCTATCCTTTTATACCAAACAGAGGCTAAGCAACATCTTAAATCCAGAGTGGGACAGAATCTCTATATTAAATGATCACACAGAATGACTGAGGCTGGGACAGCTGGAGCTCATATGACGCAACATCCCTACTCAAGGAGGGCCACCTAGAGCTGGTTGCCCAGAACTGTATCCAGATGGCTTTTGATTATCTCCAAGGAAGGAGACTCCATAACTTCTCTGGCCAACCTGTGCCAGTGCTCCATCACCTTCACAGTAAAAAAAAGTTTCATGATGTTCAGAGGCAACATCCTGTGTTTCAACTTGTGCCCATTGACTCCTGTTCTGTCACTGGGCACTAATGAATAGAACCTGGCTTTGTCTTTCCCACACCCTTCCTTTGGGTATTTATAAACATTGCCTGGCATTGGACACAAAACTCCAGGTGTGGCCTTACCAGTGCTGAGCAGAGCGCAGGACCACCTTGCTTGATTGCTGGCAGTGCTGTGCCTAATGCAGCCCAGGATAACATTGGCTTCTTTGCAGCAAGGGCACATTGCTGGCTCATTTTGCCTCTGCTCAAGGCAGGTGCCCACCAAGCTCAGAACACAGAAGAAGCTAGGACTCAGTGTCCCTCCCAAGATGCTCAGGCATCAATTTTGTGCTGGTAAGCACATGTCTTGACACTGCCTTCAGCTTCTATAAAATATTCTGCTGACCTTAGACAGAGACAAGATTCTACAACCACCTAAATTGTGCTGCACATACCCAGACAGGAGCAGACACGAGTAATTACATTGTTTTCAGTCCTGCTCCTGGGCTGATGGGCACAATGTTAAAGTATGTTACTGTACCATACATTCTATTTCATGCTTACCGAAATAGTAAACAAAAATTCTTTGTCTTCCTTGTTTCAAATTAAGAACCAAGAAAGCCAATTAGCAAGCCATTAAGGTCACTATTATAACCTGATATTAATAACACCTCCCCCATTATTATTATTCCAAATAAGCACTTGCCTATGTTGACAGTGGTTGCCCGGAATTCACCTAACTCCCTTCCATCGGGTCGACAGTTCTCTTTCTAAACAAAAATTACAAAGTTCAAATTAGAAAATGTATTTCATTATACAGCAATATTTATGCAACAGGAGTTGATATAAAATAACATTCTCTTCTTTTTAGCAGAAATATATAGCCTCAAAAATGCCAGGGAAAACTTGGTCACACTCTAGATGTTTTTTCATCAATTGATATGTAGTTTGTGCTTGTAAGCCTGCAAAAAAATCCCCGATTTTTGAAATTTATTATAATTTATTTAGAAAATATAACAATGAATTGATTGTCTCAAAAGCAAGTACAACAGGCTAGATTCAGAATATCATCCAAGAATGAATACTCGCTGGTAACTTAAAAAGAGGGTTTCCACCTGTCTGCACTGTTTAGGTGTCGAAGGCAATCTCCCTCCTCCGTCCCCACCTAATGGAGCTCTAAAGAGAGCTCTAAAGCAAAACAACCTCAAAACAACTGCAACATTCAAAGAGCATCAGGCAGAAGCTGCACAGTACATGATCCTTAAGTTAGAAACTGATCATGTCAGATCTAAAGAACCGCATGAAAGAAAAAATGCATTATAGGTAATTTATACAGGCATCTCACATTTTACTCACCAAAAACCTTCTGTAATATTCCAATGGTTCCACAGTTCTAAAACAAAGAGAAAGAGAAGTTCACATCCAAGCTCTTAAGTAGGCAAGAGATAGTAAAAAAAAGATAAGCAAGCACTAACACACAACAACAAATAATTTGATAATCAAGATGCCTGGCAAAGCTGCCTAGCAATATGGTTACAGAAAGATGAGGAAACACTGAACTGATCTAAGATGTTTTCCTACATTCAGTTACAAAATGCCTCCTCCCTACAAGGAACTTGCCTGCACATATACCTAACAAAAACTACTAGCTTTTTCTTAGTAGTAGTAGTAGTAGTTAGTAATTTAAGTTATAAATCAACAGAAGTGTCTACTGGCAGAAGGGTGTAGAACAGTTTTCAAGAAATGCAGGATGCATAATTTTATAACTGTTTCTGAAATATCTGTTAGTTCAAGGACCCCATTCAGATGTAGAATGGTATAAAACAATTTCAAATGCTACAGTTTTTCTTAGAATCTTTGAGAAAATATAAAATTACAAAATATGTTTCTTGCAGTGCTTCAGGTTATTTTAATAAGCTGAAGCGTTAGTAATTGACTGAGTTAATAACAACTGAGCATTAATAATTAACGCTCATTATTAATTACATACTACTAACAGTGTTTGCGTATTAGTATTTTAAGCAGGGATCATTAATGTAAAAAAACCACACCACTCTTTTTTGACAGAAGTGTTCTTAATACTTAAACAAAGCATTCACAGTTTTGTTAATATAATACTTCTGGTGAAAAAAAAAAAAAAAAAAACAAAAGAAGATAAATGGGAAAAGCAAGCTTTCCAAACACAAACTAACATACAGAGATATCACAAACATAATGGCAAGCATCAATTAGCTCCTGTTGGCTCCACATATGGTGGTCCTGTACTACTGGTTTTCTGAAGCCCAACACAAGGCCTGTTCTCTTCCAATTCATGTAAAAGCACTTGCTAAATACTGTTTTGTGCATTTAAGACATAAATACAGAAGCAAGAACACTAGAACAGGCTGCCCAGAAAAGCTGTGGATGCTCCATCCCTGGAAGAGTTCAAGGCCAGGTTGGATGGGGCTCTGAGCCATGGTGGAAGGTGTGAAAGGTGTCCCTGCCCACGGCAGGGGAACTGGAATCAGACGATCTTTGAAGATTCCCTCAGACCCAAACCATTTTACTATTCTAAAACAAGTAGTTATAAATGCGAAGCCACTGAATTCTCTACAGTTTTAACTTCCTTGTAATGCTATCAGCTTTGTCAGGGGAGGTTTAGGGTGAATATCAGGAAAAGGTTCTTCACCCAGAGGTTGGGTGCTGGAAGAGGTTCCCCAGGGAAGTGGTCACAGCACCAAGCCTGACAGAGTCCAGGAAGGTTTGGACACCGCTCTCAGGCACGTGGTGTGACTCTTGGGTGTCCTGCACAGGGCCAGGACTTGGACTCGGTGATCCCTGTGGATCCAATTCGGGATACTCTGCGATTCTGTGACCAGGTAGCTCCGGGCCACACCGAGCTCCGCGCTTTGCCAGGCCTTTTCCCGTCTGGACACCCCCTGCTCGCTCAGCCCCCTCTGCACACGTCGGGGCCCCGCATCCCCCCCAGCACCGACCCCATCCCCTCGCGGTGTCGCGGAGGGGCCCGGCGGCCCTCGCGATCCTCGCGCGCGGGCGGAGCCCCCGGGACGGGCTCGGCGGGACCGAGGCCGCCGGGCCCGGCACTTACTTGAACGCGGCCGCCATGGCAGCTCCGGCACCGCCGCCGTCCCGGATGTGGCGCTCCCTGGCGGCCGGCCCGCCCGGCGGGCTCTGCTGGAGGACCGGCTTTGGCGGCGGCCATCGGGGCGGCGGGGCTGGCGGGGCCCGGCCCCGGGGGGGCGCCGGCGGCTCCCGGCGCTAAGGCGGGCGGAGCGGCCGCTTCCGCCTCATTGGTCACTGCTTGCCGCCGGGGGTGATGGCGCGGCCGCAGTCCCTTCCCCTGTCCCTGCGTGCGGCAGCGCTAGCGACCCTCGCCGCCCTCCTCCTCGTCCTGGTCAGAGCTGTGCACCGCAGTCACGGCGGGCCCGGGTGGCTCCGTGGCGGGGGCGGTGCGCGGGGCTGCCCCGTGCCTGGCCCCGCGGTGCAGAGCGGGGGCGCTGGCCGCGGGTCCCGGCTCTGCCGGGGGGTCCCGGGGGCCTGCAGAGGGCCCAGGCAGGGCCAGTCCAGGCTGGGGGCAGCGCGGGTGGCACCGGTAGCCGTGCGGGCAGCAGCCGGCGGGGCTGCGCTGGCGCTGGGGGTGGTGCGGGCAAGGCGTCCGGGGACCTGCGGAGGGGATAGAGACGCCTTGGGAAATGTCCTGGTGACGCCCGTTCGCGGTAACCATTCACTGTGTCACTGCGTGGCTGAAATACCCTGCAAGTTGCAGAAGTTGGACACCCTGGAAGGTGGAATACTGCTGCCTGTCCGCAGTGCCACGTATGCCTCCTGCCCGGGGAGGTGGTGGAGCCACCGTCCCTGGAAGTGTTTAAGGAATCTCAGTGCCATCCATGGTCTAGTTGACATGGTGGTGTTCGGTCATAGGTTGGACTCGATGATCTCAGAGGTCTTTTCCAACCTAATTGATTCTGTGATTCTGTCTGTGGTGTCACCAAATAAAGTGCTCCAAACCCCGAGTTCCGAGGCTTTATTTTAGCCATTTATAAGGCGATCAGAGCCTCTGTTTTGCAAGCACATGTGGCTGGCTGGTCATGAGCCATGCCGTTGATTTCAGTGGTGCAGGGTGAGATCAGAGGCAGCACCAGTCTGTGTGCTTGGGATTACTTGGGCAAGGGGCAGTGGGGCTTGGACCATGACTTTAGAGGCATCTGCATGCTTTGCAGTCAAAAATAGCAACAAGCCAATGATGCTGACAGTGGGCAGACTAGGAGTAACCAAATGGCATAATACGGTTTTAGTCTTGTGTGATTCAGTCAGTGGTTGGAGCTTCACACCACTGACCCACCTCATTATTGAAATACAGTTGGTTGCCCTTTGTAGCACATTCAATAGCTAGGTCAACTTCTAATAGAATACTCAACAATTTTTCCTATTTCTTTTTCATCACAGGTTTGTGCAATTGCTTATGTAGCTGCCAAAAAAATGCCAACCCTTCACCGACACGAAGAAAAGAAATTCTTCGTAAATGCTGAAGGCAGGAAAGAACCTGTAGCAAGTATACATGATCCCCCTGCAAGGGAACTCTCTGTTGTTGTGCCTTCGTACAATGAAGAAGACCGGTGTAAGATTTTTCTTGTTTTGAGGAAAAAAAGAAAATTTATCTGTTGTTACTGTAATAATGCAGAGGTCAGTTACGTTTGGGGTAGATTCTGGCAGGCTAGATTATGTATCAGATTTTGGACACAGTTTCCAGAAAACAGTCCAAGTACATTGAATTTCAAAATTAAGGCATTGTATAACTTGATTTCTGCTGCCAAAAATAGCATGAGGCACTTGTACGAATCCTCTCTATTTTAATGATCCCCAGAAGAATGGCGGTTCATTGCCCCTGTAAGTGCTGCAAGGCAAGAAGTAAAAAAAAAACTTCTAAAACTGATTTGAGAGCTTCCCACTCCTTAAACAGCAGCAGCTTCAGATGAGCAGAAAAAAGGATGATCTCACAGGTTTGTGTTTGACTTGGCCATAGATACAAGTACCTGATACGAGCGAAGGCTTTCAGATGTGATACAAATAATCAAACATGGTAGTGCACAAGCTGTCAGCTTGCTTAAGTAAATAAAGTCAGTGCTGGTTTTCAAGGTCAGTCATGAAGAATGATTTCTTTTAATTTTGTGTAGATAATTACAAATTTCAAAATGAAAAGTTGGTTCCTTAGAAGAAATATTTTTATAATGTCTGTTATGTGTGCGATTTTCTTCAATGTTCTTTTTGCATTCAGAAAGGACAGAACTTAAAGTTGAAGCTGCTAAGCTTGTTTGCTTAAGGTAGTGTCGTATGAAAGAGTCGATTCGCTCAGCTTTGCGTTGTGGTTGTTTACAGCTTGCTTGTGCAAGTGCTTTTGGTGCTTTGCCTGTTATAATCTACTAATCNATCTGACCTCCTCCGCCTTTTCTCTAGTACCTCTTATGATGGATGAAGCGCTGAAATACCTAGAAAAAAGACAGGTATTTTCTTTTTGCATTCAGAATTCATTATTTTTCAGTGTATTATGTATAAAAAGCTGTGATGTAGTTACTCTGTTATGTTGGTGTACATTAAACAGTAATACTTGGCCACTTAGAAGTAATATTTTGGTCTCGTATCAGTTATTTTTAGATCAAGTGCCAAAAAGTATTTTTTAATTAAGTAAAAATTTAATATACTGTTATGGGATGAAAAATCTTCGTGTGAATGTTATCTTTCCAAGGCAAAGCTAAAGATTACCCATACATTTAACTTTCTAAACTAAATCCTAGTTTGTTCTAACAAGTTTCTTAAGTATCAGTTCTTCATTATAATTTGTTCTCTGGGTAAGAAACCCATTGTGAAAGTTTGTGGATTTTGGTTTTTTTTGGGTTTTCTTAACAGTGATGATGTTCCGAGCATTCATCCATTACAACTGAATTGATTTTTCGCTTCTGGATGGTATCATGACAACCCAATGTAATGACATGTTCATCAAATATGGCAAAATTCTCTAATTATGCCATGTTGACAAATTTACTATGTTAGTAAATTTATTATGTTAGTGTCTGTTGGCAACCATGAATGATTTAAAACCTGCTGGGGAGAAAAGAATAATGATATTTGAAAGACCTATTGCCTACTTAAGAAATTGGATTAAATGTATTATTTCTGCTTTTATTTTCAAGAAACGAGACTTAAGAAGTCATAGTGATTAATGATGGTAGTAAAGATCAAACTACAAAGGTAAGAAAAAAAATTGTCTTCCTAAGCAATCAGAGGTGTTGGTTTTTATACTACATTTGTGGAATATAACAGTTTTTTGCATTTATATTTTGATGCTTGAAATAGTTTACAATTGAAGTTCGTATTTCTGAGTGCTTTCTGTCATTGCTCTGTATGCATCATAGATGTCACATATGCACATGAATACATGTACAATTCCTTTGCAAATTCTAGTTTTCTTGGTTGGCGACTGTGGCAGCTATTTTCCTGCAGCTGAGATTCTCAGAATTCTAATCCGAGCTTCAAGAAATTTCATACTAAATACTCCATCTATGCATAGTGATGATGTGAATGTGAACTTGAGGAAGCTAGAAAGTCTTTTAAAATACCTGATTCATACTGTGAATGACAGAACATCTGACATAGTTCTTCCTCACACTGTTCATGGCATTGTTTATTTAAAAATACCTGTGCCAGTAGTAGTATTTTCAAAATAGGTCTGTATTCTTCTGGTTCAACTCTGATGTATGTCACTGGAAAGGAAGGCTCGCTAAGTTGAGGGCTTTTTTTACCATTGCTTGGAAGATGTTTGAGGTAGCTACTAAAATGCATACTACTTTTTGATTTACTTTCCTTAAGCTTGTCCATTAAGAATTGTTCATAAATATTTTTGACTACTGTGCATTCCTTCTGGCATCTCTTTTAACTGAGCACACAGTGGTGCAGGCCTCTGGACTTACAAGCACTCAAGACAACCTTTAGAAAAAATTAGGATGAGAAAACTCATGGTTTCTCTTCCTCACAGCATGGAACAAAATCTACAGATCCTTGCAGTGTGAATGGGATTTTAGATCAATGTGAATTTTTGTTTAAAACCACAGATAGCAGCAAGACAAATGATAAATAGATGGCTGTAGTAGAAAATTATATTTCTTTTATTAACTATGGGTGTAAATATAAAAGGTCTGTAATAATATAAGTTAAAGTAGGATTGAGTTTTTTGGAAGTGGGAGGATGGGGTTTGGAGTATCCTTTTCTTTTGAACATGACTAGTTTCTTCAGTCTTCTTGTTTTGACTGTGAACTGGTTTTTATTTTCCTGAACAGACTCCAGCGAACAGTGGCGATGTATTTGTGCTGACTGATTATACCTCTGTGCTGTTGATTTATTTTCTTTTAAAGGGTGAGCAAATATAAACTTCTACCTTGATTCCTGGGTTTGTTTTATCCTATTTTTTTGGGTGTCTATCAGGTTGCAATGGAGTACTGCAAGAAATATGGAAGCGACAAAGCGTGAGTGCTTTCTTTGGTAAAAAATTGAGGGAAAGGAGGAGTGGTCAGGATGGTAGTTGATACTTTCATCTCCTTCTCTGTTTGAACTACCAAATATGCGGAAGATAGAGCTGTGCTGATTGACATTTTGAATTCAATGCATTAACAAATGATTATGAGAAAACTGAGTACAGATTCTATAAATAAAAGCAAAAACTTTTTTTCAAAATAAGCTGATATGAGATCTTGGAAACAGTATTTTCTTGCCAGGAAAATAAATAATGAAGACATTTTTTTGTATGAGATTTCAAAGGGAAAATAAATACTTGAATTTCATATTCATGTTAGTTCCACTTAGAAATAGACTTGTGTTTATGGCTTATAAAAGCCAACCAAAAAAAAAACGCAACCAAACCATTACAGATTAAAGTTAAGGTTTTGTAGACAAAATACATCCAAATTTGCAAACTTTGCTCTTCAGGTCATAGATATGTTTTTTAAAATGGCTAATAAAGAAGCATTCTCATCCTTCAAAGTTTGCTTTTAGTGAAGGCCACTGTTATCACCCACACTCGATAGCAGAAACAGCACAATTTATGCTTTCACATAGACGTTATCCTGAAATCATCATGTCCTATAAATAAAATAGCTGTTACACATTTAGAAGGAATATCTTTTTCCTGAGATGAATAACACCTTACTTTTACGAAAAAGGGTGATATCATCTGTGAGTTATCAGTGACTTGTCTTCATCTGTATTTTATGCGCTATTTTTAACATATTTTTTTATGAAAAATAAGTAAATATAGGGAATAGAGAGAACATTATATTAGATCATATAGAATTTTTGTAAGCTACATACTTCTGAAGTTATTTCCAGAGAAGAAGAAAATTCTCTTGTGTGATATGCTTCTGCAACGCAGAGTGTATAGTGGATGTGTATACAACTACTTCCTTGACAGGATTTTCCAAACTCACATATGCTTGGTTGCAACAGTACTTCGGTCAAACCACTAATTGTTTTCCTGTCTGGACCCCTTCAAAAACTGTGAAATTTTTCTGACCAAGAATATGGCAAAACAGGTTGTGAGACCTGTGCATCTCAAATGTTTTGCAGTGATACTGTGACTTAATACTGAATCTTAAATTAGTTTTGAGAAATAGCTCTTGAATTCTCTTGAAACAGTGTTGGGAAAAACTAGCTCTGCATCCTCCTTTCCATAGCTCAAATGGCAAAGAAAAGCCATCCAGTGCAGTAGCAGCTGCTAATCTGTGCTTCTTGTGCTCCCCTCTACAGCTGACTGTAGCAACTTGTTGACTGTTAGGTTTTGGGTTGTAAAGCTTTTAATTTGCAATCATCTCCTCAGAGGGATTGTTAACCTTTTGTGTTCATGCATTGTCTATCACTGTGGGACACTACGCAGTGTGTGAAGTCTCTAGATGCTATTATAATATAAATTGGTAAATTGTTGTGAGTAGCAGAACATTAGGACTCACTTGTGTTGAATCTGTGAGATATCACTGTTCTTGTTACTACCTTAGTCTTTTGCACCTAGCTTATGATAAATACTGATTTCAAAAGTGTTGATTTTTATTGACTATTTTCATTGCAGGGTGTCTTTAGTTCTCAGGGGAAACAAATTCTTATGGCTGATGCAGATGGAGCTACAAAATTTGCAGATATTGGAAAAGTAGAAGAAGGTCTAAAAAATCTCCAGGCATGGCCTGTGAGTATAAATTCTCATAGCTTTAGTTTAGTACACATGCACACAGATTGACCTTTGTAATTCTCTTCAACCTGAGTTTTTTGAGATCTGGCTGAAGATGTAGGTGTAAGTCTGAAGACCTAGGTGTAAGCTTAGAAGCTTCAAGAATGGGCTGTCAGAAAGAGCTCCCACCGAGTTCTTAACTCCTTTGCATCCACTGTGCCTACTTCAATGCAGTACAGAATGTTCTATTTATCCTTTCTTTTAACTTCTTTGAAGTTGTTCTGTTCTGTATAAATACCATGTGTTGCCTACTTAGTTTTCTTTGTTAACTGTTTTGTATTTTCATTTTATCTGATGTCATCCTATATACCTTTAAGGATACATCTTAATTTCACCCTCTTTTAAAGAGGTTTTCTTTTCTCAGGGTCCTTAGTTAAATGACAGTGTTTGGAAGAACTTTTATTGTAAATAAAAATTCAAAAACCTGTGAAACAAGAACACCTCCCTGCATAGTCATTCTCTTTTGGGAGCTTGACTTGAAAGAACTGAGGTTTATTTTCTGCTTAAACACAGACGAGTGAGATACTTGTAGCTAGTTTCCCAAAGTGCCAGAAGTGATGTGCAGTCGTCCAGCCAGAGCTGCAAGAGATGTGCCTGTGGAATGAGTCATGGTCTGTGAGTTCAGAAGCACAAGTGCAGGAGCCAACAGGCAGCAGTGTGACCCTGATGCTCTTTCCTACGAGGGCAGCAGGAGCTGCTGCTTCTCCAGCATCAGTCCCACACTCTCAAATATAGTAGATTTGAGAGATTTCATGTGAGAAATAGCAGCACGAGAACAATGCTAAACTCTTTGTTTTCATCACATTTACTTAATTTGAGGTTATATGTTTGTGTAACACTGTGGCATTTTATTTGTTGAAGGTACATCAGTGCAACAAGTACTTTGTTCTGTTACCCCTCCATTGCACAGTATTTAAGGAAAACATTCAGTTCCTAGGAATGCTGCATGCTTGTCTGTGCTGTTAACCACATATACTGTACGCATACAGTAAACGGTGTAAGCTAAACCAAGCTTGAATAAATTGAAGTAATTTGTATGCACCATATGCAAACTGTAATAAACTTCAGATTATCTGTAAACTGTAGAAAAGACTGATTTGGGCTCAGAATTTAGCAGTAGAAGAAGTGCAGCTAGATGGAGCAGAAAAGTATACTGCTTTGAAGTTTTTATATGGTTCTCAACACAAGATTCCACTGATTCTGAAATACTAGTTTAAGTAATAACTCTTTAATTTATATTCCTATACTGAACTAGATGGCTATTTCCTGTGGTTCTAGAGCTTATCTGGAGAAGAACTCAGTAGCAAAGGTTTGTTTCCATTTCCTGCTGTATACTAATACCCAAATACTTCCATTATTTGTTTTAGCTCTACAGATTTTGCAATTAAATAATCCATATTTGTAAAAGAATGCAATCTAAAAATAAGGAAAAGATTGTCATAAGTGTAGGATGTGCTCCTTCATATACAGAGGATGCGTTCCAGATTTCAGGCACTTTGTACTTGTTTCAGTCAATGTTCCAATTTATGGATTTAATTTTTCAAGTTGAGAACATGTCATGAGCAGAGCCTCTAAACCCTGATGAAATTGGTAACTAGTAACCAGTACTGGGGCTAGAGTGGAAGGAAACTGAGTTCATTTATTACTGATTCCCTTCCAGTGCAAGAGCTTGACCTGCAGATCTTGAAACCTGTTTAAAGTGATTTAGGAATAATTAGCAGTGAACTGTTTGAAGAGGATCTCAGTTCGTGGGAAAGTGGTATAATTTTTCTGTATTACTCATCATAAAATTTGTGAGTTTTGAACACAGAGACAGTACTGTTCTGTGTGTGGCTCTTGTGGAATAAACAGTGATGCACAGGCACATGACCTTATCTTGCATCTGGTTTTCTGATGTCTTGGCAGAGAGTAGTTGACAAACTACAGGCATGGGACTTGTATTGCAACAGACGCATTGCTGGGCTCATTTTTTCAGCATCATTGGATGTGCTCATCATGTTGTATGTTTTCATGAGTAAGCTTTGTTTATACTGATGCTTAATACTTGAAATAATTCTAAAATATATACACAACTACTAAAATAGTTACAAAAGTTCAAAACAAGTTACATTGGTAATGTTCAGGAAGTTGAGCCCAGAAAAAAGTGCTTCATTGTATGGTCAGGTACTGAATGTAGATAAACTTTCTTCAGTGCATTCATATTTTCTTTTCATCTTTGAAGGTCTTGCTACACAGGGAAGAGGAATTGGAACAGGATTTTTATCTTTTAATACAAAAGTACAATTTTTAGGATGTGTCTATGCTTTGTTTCCTGTTTCTCCATGTATTTCTAATTTTAATAAAGAAATCACCAACTGGTTAGGTAGAACGGATTTGTTTGAAGTAGCCCATTTCATTTCATCATCCAGCTGTATCTAGTCTGGAACAGAAAGACTACTACAGTGGGAAGAAAATACCTATTGTGTAGTGCAATAAGTTTAAAACAGTTGCAGAACAATCTTTCAGATGTTGGGATTTCTGTCTGTACTTAGTGGCATCTAAAAAAGTAGAATGAAGCTGTGATAAGCAGCTGTATGGGATTTATCAAGACCAGAAATTCACCTTAAATTCAGTCTGAAGACATCAAGAATTCTGTTCTGCCTCCAGAATTGTTAATATACTTTAATGAATCCAAAATATGACATGTATAAATAGTCTTAGGAGTGACAATCATAACCCAGGAACTCTTTGTGAAGTAAGTGCACACTTAAACTGTCTGACAATCATGCAGCCTCTTAGCGCTTCCCTTTTGACATTAGTGGCAGCCTTGTGTTCTTTGTCACAGAGCCATGAGAGTCAAAGAAGCCACGCCAGATCTATCATTAACCTGAGACTGGAGCACTTTTTGAATGGCACAAGCTATGAATTTTAATTTTAGCCAAAGGCTGTTGCCTAATAAGTTGAGCATCTTTTCATTTTTTAAGTGAGGTTCTAAATTGTTAGGTTTGAAGGCATCTCTTTTCACCCAGAGATGCTTACCAGTTACATTGATGGCTCCTAAACATTTTATCTGATATTTGGTTTGCAATCTTAAATACAATTGCTTAAATTGAGCCTAAGACCAGCAGTGAGTTCAGAAGTGATTTGTAAATCAGAGTTCTAGTTGTTTAGGAACTTTGTTGAATAAAAGACTAAGAGTGACCTCTGCAAATCCAGGCTCCAGCCTCTGGAGTCCATGGACAAACTTATCTATATGATTATTGCGTCAAGAACAAAAGTGTAACCAAAGAGTAGGCTGGAAAAATGTTTACCAGGAACATAAAATATATCTGTGAAAGCAAAAGAACAAAAGAGATGACTGTGTAAATTGCTGGAAATAAAAAATGAAGTATTATCTTGCTCAGTAGCCTTTACTTAAGACCTGATTTTTACTTGGTCCATCATATACTGCAAAAAGGTGCATTCTCCAGTTGCATTCTCTTAGGTGCTTTAATATAGTGTGTGCAAGCTCTGGAGATCATTCAGTCTTGAATGAAAGAAGTTGGGTGGCAAATAACAGGAAATGCTCCCATTTGGGTTTTTTAATAATAAAAAACTTTTTTGTGTTGGATTAGCAGCTGGAACCTGTTTAGTTTAAATGTGTATTCTTAAAGAGTAGCACTTTATGGAGTCCTGCTGGCTTAATGTCCATTGTCTATCTTGGTAACTTTTGAATTTGTTGCATCTGTGCAGCCAGTTTTTAGAAACACAAGAGGACTGTAATGTAATGTAATGGCCAGTCTTCGCGAATGGAGAACCGGGGAAGGTCTTTACACCTTCCAGCCTGCGCGTTGGATTTTTTAGGTGAGACACAGTGTGCGCGGAACTGAGCCCACCCTTTAATCCTAAGGTTCATCTGCCGGGGCCAAGCAAGCTTGGACGGTGGCAGCGAGGTCCTCAGGACAGAGATGGATTGCCTTACAGGGCTAACGAGCTCCATCTGCCCGGGGAGTGTCCTAACCGGGAATCGAACCCGGGTCTCTGCAGTGACAGTGCAGCGCCTTTACCCCTAGACCACCAGGGGCTCCCACAAGAGGACTAGACAGAGGGGAAAAGTAGATTATAAGTGTCAGATGGATTAGAGTGTGTAACATGCCATCCTCTTCCTCCTTCACTCTTCTTTTCCTTGGGGAATTCCCAAAGAATCATGCAGAAGATACTGTGGCCGTCACACTCATTATTTGAAATTCAGGTGCAGGTTCTGCTTTACTTAATAAAACATTTTTCCAAGTGAAAAGCTGCTGTGAGTTGGGGAAAACAGAAAAAAGAACTTGGACTTCTCCTATCCTAGGCTGTGCTTGATTGGCAAGTCCTTCCCTTTCAGTTCCAATTTTGTTTCTCTGTAACAATTGATAGGTTCCAGTGTAAAACAAAAACAGTTTACAAACCTTGAAAGCTGTCTCAAAACAGGATTATTGTCGTGTAAGACAGCTCTGTTCAAGCACTTCTCTCATCACTTAAATGAAACCATCTAACTTCCTGCCTTTTGTCCACAGTGCTCTTACTTTCAAACTCTTATATACAGGTTCCACTTCATCGTTTGGTTCCTCTGTGTCGAAGAGATCAGGGAGATACAGTGAGGATTTAAACTTCTAACCAGGGAAGCTTTGCAGACTTTCTCAACTCTTCATATAGAATGCTGGTAAATTGTTCTTTTTTTTGTTGTTGTTGGGGTTTTTTTAATAATTGAACATGGTTTTGAAAAAGTAATTTTGATATTGCAGCTACTATGCAGCATGTCATGTCTGTGTATAAATCCTAGCTGCTCAGTTTAACCAGTTATAGTACTGCTTGCATAGCAGCTTAGATTTCTTGTTAAGTTAAAATATCCTAGTAATTGCTAGAAATTTTATGTTCTTTACAATTCAGTAATGCTTAAGCAAAAAATTTTACCTAGAATCAATATCTGATGTTTGTAATTGCTGAAGACTCAAAGTGAAAGCAAATGCTTATTCTTTACTTATTTTCTTGGTAAAATATTTGATTAGAGGCCTACTGATACATATCATTAGTTTGAGACAATAAAAGACGTTTCATATTCTTTGAATTACTTCAGTGCTCCTTTTGTTGTAATGTAGCTAGAACAGTTCCTTTATGAGAGTGATAGAGTCATGAGTACTGTTATGGGACTGACACACTGTTTCCACACAATTACTATAATTTCTGTAAATTTCCTGCAATGAAATTGTTGCTAAAAAGGATAGTTTAATTAAGTATAATCAAATATTTTCAAACTGTTGTTTTCATTCAAGAAAATCTCTCATGGGCTGTTGCTTGCTGACAGGGAACAGAATTACTTAACAGTGTTGCTGTACAGAAATGTGCAAGCTACAGTACCTAGTCAAGTCCAATGCATCTAGTTTTAGGTTGAGGTTTGGCAGCCATAGTTGAGCTACACTACTCCTCCAGAATGAAATTATGAATATAATGTTTGGGCACACAAGTGTGGAACACAGAGCTTCTGTTGTATGGAATCTGTAACTGTGAGCAGTCAATGTTCAAAAAAGCACTTTTCTATCCAAGTGGTTTTCTTTTTGCTCTAAAGGAAACTATAGCTGAGCCAGAAGTATGATTTGTGCTGCTACCTCCAAACTCAAACTTGATCTGTTAAGTTCTGTCAGTTTCACATAGAGGGATTTTCTAAATACATGGTAAACACATATGTGAGGTCCAGAAGTGCACATCACAAAATTGCCCTATTTAGCTTCACTTTATAAATTAAGCTCTTCAAGAAGAAAACTGAGAAAAATAAATGAGGATAATTAGTTTAAGCTGCAAAAATGCAATCTTAAGTTTTATTTTTTTTCAAACTGAAGATTCTGGTTCTAATTGCACCTAATGGTTATATGAAGTGTTTTCTACAGAAAAAAATCTTAACAAGCTTTCTTCTGCCACTTCAATTCTGTAGCACCAAAGGAAGGAAAGAGTGAAAATAAATGTGCTGTACCCCATTATCTGGGAAGAGAGGCAATGAAAAAAAAGATATTGCTAACTTACAGTAATTATATTGTTGATGTGTAACACACCAGATCTTCATATCTTAATTAATTGTGCCTTGTATATACTGCTGTAAAATTGGCCTTCTATTCTTGCTCTTTTATTTACAGTAATCCAAAAACTAATCCCCTGTGCGTTTTCTTATTTATCAAAAACGTTCTGGTTAGTGATGAAGAATGTTTTGTTTGTCAAGGAAAGAATAACTCAAATTCTTCCAATAAAGAAGCTCTTCAGATAATTCCAAGTCACAAATTTGCCTAAAACAACAATAGTTTGTTTGGGGTTTTTAGTTTGGTTTAATTTGCTGCTAAAACAGGAAATATATTGTCTGTTTTTATCTTCATCTCTCCATCAACAGTCTCCATTTCCCTGCTTTCAATTTCGTGTTTATTGGCTAATTTAAACCAAATCTGGCAGAACAGTAGAGATTTCAAGATCAAAAGCTTTGGCAAGTTTTGTGGAAACTGAAACCCTCTTAGAGGAGAGAAACTCATATTATTGCCACTGCTGAAGAAAAAAAAACTACAATAAGGATTCAAAAGTTACTTACCATCTTCACAGCTAGTTGTTTAGCATGTGTAAAGATAACTTGGAAGATAACTTGTCAGTGCACAAAACTGAGTATTGTCCCTTTCCCAGTTAATATTTATAAGACCTGGAAATAAACTGGGACATGGGGAGATATAAGTATATGGGGAGAGTGGATAAATTAAAAGAAATTATTCTTTTGCACTGGAACTTGTAGTGAGCTGTTGAAAGGAATGAACATGAGGCTTCTGCAAAAACCAGATCATCTGTGCTGTCTGCTCAAGTTTTGTCAGGCTTGGATTTTTTGGGGTACTGCAGTGCCACGTGAATTCTTATGTGAGCACATAACAAATATTTAGACTAAAATTCATGCAAAACGTGTTTACTCAGGATGTTTATATAAAATTCCTATAAAATCAGCTACCTAGTAATTCCTACCTGCTTAGACCTTCACTTTTTTATGCTTTCTTTGTGCTTTTTCCATTCCAGTGGACTTGATGGGAACATCACCTCTTTAATGTTAAAAACACTAGGAAACAGACCACATTTTTCTTCTTGTTCGGGTGAATTTGTTTTGTAGATGCTTATATTTAGGAAATCTTGAAAGCAAACTGAAGTATACAAGGAAAAATACAGTTTTATCATTATGGCAATAAGAATCATGTAACTTTTTAAAGAGAGACCAATATATTTCCTAGAATATTTTGTTAATCTAACTCTAAAGTTTAGAAAGCATTTGAAAATCAATAGATGCTGCAAACTGTTTATATATTCAATATTAAGAAGTAATGCCTAAATCCTAAGCTAGCTTTTTTTATGAGTGTTCTCACTGTCTTTTTGTTTGACTGTCCTTTGGAGAGCTGGCTGTGTATATATGAATACAAACCAAACATTCTTGAAATTTACTTTCTAAATAGCAATGTTTTGACATTAGTTTGAAATGAGAGCAACCTTTTGAACAGACAGCATGTGCTTTGTGTTTTAGGTTCTGAATCTGATTACACCATTAATCTGTTTTTCAGAAATGGATGGAACACATTTTTTAATTTAAAACTTAAAATTAAAAGAGATATTATAAAAACATAACAAAGACAGTTGTAATTACTCACTTCGGGCTACAAAAGAAGATCTAGTTCTGCATCTACAGTCTTGACTTGAGAAATGTAACTGTGTTAAATTTTGATGCACAGGAGAAATACTGGAAAAATAAATGGTCTCACTGGCAGAAGTTTCCTATCCTAAATTTGATCATTGCTTTCTTCTGACAACCAAAAAAAATTATAAATTTCCTTCCATCCAGAAAATGTCCATCCTTAGGAGAACTAGGCATAGCAGCAATCACTGTCCTACCTGGAATAATGATTAAAGGAGGGAAATTCAAAACATAGTTCTAGTCCTGGTTTGATTGACAAACTTTTTTGAAGTTGCAATTTATAATGACATTACCCAAGCCAGCAGATCACTGATTAGATCAAATGGTTGCTATTGCTTTTGTCTATAAAAGTTGCCTTGTGCACTGAACAAGCCATGCTGTTTCACTTTTAAAATTGGAAAGATCAATATAAAAAATTAATGTTTGTTTCTCCAGTATGTCGCTAATCTCTAAATGTGAATCACCATATAAAAATTACAGAAAAATAACCATTTATTGTTACAGGGATTTTTTTTCCCCACTTCTTTGGCATTGTAGACCAACATAAACAGTGGAGTGAATTTTTTTCCTGGTTTTCTGCATGGCAAGTAGAATTGTTTATTAATATCTAATTAACACAAAAACATTTGCTTTTTTAGCTTTGTCTCTTTTGTCTTGCAGAAAGTCCTGCTCCTGGCAGACATATGTGGACTTTTAAAAGCCCCAGTTTAGCTAGAACAGTGCTGGCAGACTAACCCCTTTGACATCCTGTTTCATTTTTAAAACCTCTTTGACCATTGGAAGTTTTCTCTACCCAGTAAGAGTTTACTGGAAAAACAAATCTTGGGTGTACAAAAGTCCTGAATTCCGGTTAAAACTTTATAACTGAAGGTCTGAATTTGTTTTTTGAAACTCATAATATAGGATGAGGGGAAAAAAAGAAGAGTTCTAGTGCAATTTTAAAATACAGAATAATTTTTCAGGATAGATATTTTCTAAGCTCAAAGATTTTAGGGTTCAGTTTAAATGGATGTAATTCAATTAAACACCTACCAGTTTGGTGTTCGAATGAATTTTAGCCAGCATTGTCTTAAATTGTAACTTAACCAAAACACAACTTTTTTCTTTATTTTGCATTACATCTTAGTGTCAATTAACACATAATGGAACCACTGTTAGAAATAGATAGGGAAAATTTTCACACCATATATTTTCGTGTGTCTAAATTTTTGATCTAAACTTAAAGTAGAGCCTGAATTTATTCAGGCTGCAGCCAAACATAGGTATTCTGAGCTGTGTGTCCCTCTTCCAAGAGGCACCTATTTTCAGTCTCTGCAGCAGGATGAAGTACATGGTGTGAGTAATACCTTGCTGTTTCTAAGAGTGCTTCTGTTCACATGTTAACTAGTCACAAATGGCTTCCTGGCAAATCGCACTCACCAACTCATCCACTGGTGTGGCTTTGATCTCCTCTAGGACAGGCTCCATGTAACATACCCACGCTTAAATCCTGGCTGTGGAGGCTTCTGTGTAGTTCTTCTATACCATCTGGGTCTGGTGATCTGCAGTATGGATGTAAAGCTATCAGTGTATTGAGCACACTGTGGTCTGTATTCTCTGATTAACTATTGTGGAAAAGTGGTGGGGGAAAGGGAAGCAAAAGATACCCCAGTGATGTTCTGCTGAAGTCATTCTCCTGTCAGCTTTGAATAGGTTTTTTTTTAATTTTGGGATATGTTCACTGTTACCCAAATGGCAACCACATGTAACAATATTAGTGTTCAACCTGATTAATTTCTGTGCTTTTAATCTTTTACTTTAAGCACTGTAGTTCACAGTACTATTTAATATTGTTGTTCTGTAATGTATATGCTGACATCCCAGTAATCAGTTGTCCACAGGAATTGTTGCAAATACCAGTTCACTAGGCTAATAATTTAGGTAGTAATACTTTTAGAGGAGCTCATATAGTCTAATTCATCAGACAACTATTCTGCGTCTCTTAAGATTTTTAGTCATTTAAGTAGTAAGTATTATAAAATTAGATTTAGTCTTAATACACATGATTCATAAACATTCAAAGGTGAATACATGGGGGTTTTGGCTTACAAACTAAAATGTCAGCAAAAAAATTAAATACTATAACTTCAGTAAAAGAGACTGTGACATAATTAATGAAATAATATTCAGCCCTCATTTAAAGAAAGCAGTGAAATGGCAAGGCTGCTTGGAGCGAATTCAGTTCACCAAGGAAAAAAAAAATGTATTCTGTAACTGTTTTGTTGACAATTAAAAGGCCTGTGTCCTGATCAAAATCAAATTTAGAAAATAGCTCTAAACTCTTCGTACACAGTAAGTGTAGTCTCTGTAGATAACATCTGTTTATGCTGCCTTTGCATATTTAATGTTGTCCAGTGATATCTGTAGTTCTCCTGTAACATACATGGGGAGCACGAGTTCAGGTCGATGCCTGTTTGCCTGTGATTTGCCTGTGGTCTGCACTTCAGTGGGAACCTACACATGTGTGTCATACCTAAGGGCACATTTCAAAGTCAACTGCTGTTGTTGCATTCATTAATAGTTTTGCACAAATACACTGCTAAAAAGGAGAGGGTGGCTTGAAGTAAAAGGAGGTAACATCTGAACTTGGCTAGCAGCCTGCTAAAGGACGTCTTTGTGCCTGTTCTTGATCACCTGTCTGTCTATTTCTACCCTTTCTGTGATCTTAAATGGAATTACCAATGATTAGAATTCAAGCAACCCTGGAAGCATGAATGAATAATGTGGGATTTTTGTTGCATACATTTTCTCCAGTAACAAAAGATTTTTTTCATTTCAAAAGAAAAATGTCTTGGACTTAGCAATGAGAATTTAAGGAGAATCTAAACTTAAGAAGTTACTGAGAGAAGATGTGGACCAATATTGAATCTTAGTTGACTGCCTCACAGCTGCATTTTCAAGACCCCTCTGTAAGCTGGCCTTGAACATCTGTTCCCTTGACTTCAAACTGGGAATCTTAACAACAGCTTAGCTAAAATGTTTCTAGTTCCTTAACCTTCAAGCTTTAGTTTTCTGGGGAAAAAAACCCAAAGCCTCTGTAATGAATGTTTTGAATCTAGTAGAAACTACATGTGGAAGGCCATTGTGATGGTTTGGACTTGGTTTCCTGCCAAATGCCCGAAAGCTAGGATAGCAGCCCCCTTCCCCCCTTCTTTTTTCCCTTAGGTTAAAGGAGAAAGAAACTATAAAAATTAAAGAACCCACAATCAAGTTGCTTATATAAAAATATATCTATATTTACGCAAATTACAGTTATATACAGTTAAGATGCTATATACACAGAAAAAGGGGGTCCACCCCCCGCAGGGATAGGGAAAGGGAAAAAGGGAACAAAAGGGAACAAAAGGGACACCAAACAGGTATACTAGATCGAACTATACTAATAACTAATAAAACAGATCTCACCACGTCCCTTAGAACAGTAGGATCGGCAGTCACAGTCAGCACTCTCCAAACCCCCACGTGGTAGGACAGCGGATTCTGCAGGCCTCAGCCTTAGATAAGCGAGACCAATGCAGGGACCCACTGTTCCCAGACCTCGCCGGAAGAGAAGAGAGCGAGGTCTCTAATCTCCGACTTATTTATACTCTGGTTTACGTAAAAATTGTGTGGAATACTGGGTACTTGGCTCCTTCCTTGGTTACAAACTGGTCACCAAGGAAGGCCTAGACTAAAACCATCACAGCCATTGACAGTTTTTTTCCAATACTGACTAGGATTTTTAAAAAGCTGCTTATTGGGGGGAATGGGGGACTGTTTAGCTTAAATACCAGTTATTAAAACTCATTGAAGGAACAAGAACATCCCTAGTGAAGACTACAAAGACGGGGGATAAAAAGACGTAGCAATCAATAAATCTAAGAAATGTAACAAAAATCACCAGAATCTTCATAATTGTGATTTGCATTCACTCTTGTCAATAGTAGCTACTGGCAGTTTCATATGCTGATTTTTAACGTGAGCATGACAAGCTGCCAAGCTACTTGTCTAATACCAAAAGCTTCAGTGCTTCAGGTCCAGAAGGCCCATTTGAGCACGCAGTTCCAAGAATGAAACACACAAACAGTTCTCTGTGCAGAGAATTCAGGGGATTGAGGTATATTTTGGACAAAGTGGGCAGAAGAAGGCAACTGACTTAGAGCAGTATCACTTCCCCAGTCCATTTTGTTGCACAACCTGGAAAAAATTGTGCCAGCAAAAAACACAAGTATCTCGAGAGGGTTTCCATGTTGTGCTTTAAATGGTCACTGGATAAAGTAAAACTGTTGTTCAGGTTCTGTTATGCACAGTAACTTAGATAATTTTCTCTTCTGTGCTGCTGCCTAGAGCTTCTTGACTTAGAAAGTACAAGGAGAGACCATCAGATCTGCATAAAGCCACAGCAGGTAGTTGTCCCCTTTGATGAAACTCCTAGAAATGTGGACTGACCCTGTAAGTTCGCCTGCTTGGTCTTTATGGTCTTTAAAAATGTTTAAATCCTGATAGTGGCTGGAATGACAAGCAAGCAGTGGTCTGAACACAGCATGACCTTCAAAAACAGGATACAGTGAAGTGTTGTTATTACTGTTGTAATACTGTATACTGCTTGTGTTCTGAGATGTTCAGTCAGGGAAATAAATTTCCCTTCCATGTGCATCTGACCTGTAGAGCACTGGGATCAACTGCATAACTGAACAATTAGTTCAGTTATGTGCTTGATACCAATTAAATCGGGCAAGGGATTTAATTAACATTGCCACTGTCTTTCTTCTGGAAATAAGTGTGACTGTATTTTCTATTTCCTGTTCTTCTTCAGGGCGTTTGATGTGGAACTTCTTTATATAGCCTAGCGCTTGAAAATACCTATAGCAGAAGTTGCTGTCAACTGGACTGAAATAGAAGGTAGGCAAATTGTTTATATTCTTGAAAGATTCCTTACATGTCAATCCAGAGTAAAGTATCCAAGGTCTGCCCATATTTCACTCAGTTTTGATAACACACAGCCTTCTTTCCATACAAATTTTGAATTTCGTGTCCTTGCCAGCCTTCTTCCATGACTTGGTACAGGAAGAGTAGGTGAAGGGAGAGAAACGACGGAGAGAAACTCTGCACTCCCACTGGGGGCAAAAGTAGGTAGTTACACTGCTAGGACAAAAAACTATTTTGGCATGTCCTCTTGCTGTAATGTGTTAATAAAAATAGAGCAATTGTAAAACACTGTGCAGGAAGTCTGACCAACATCGTTTATTGATTCAACTCCATTTCACTGTGTCCTGCCTTCCAAAATTGTCAGCTATTAAGGCCTCCTCTAAGGCACCATCTCTTTTTAAGATGTGATGCTCTTTCAGTCTCTTTAGGGAGGTCTCTGACACTGGGTTACTGGAAAGTACAGCTTCATGCATATTTTGTCATAGCAAAGCCAGCTTAAGAGATACCCCTTGCTTCTGCTCACTTCCCTCCCATCAAACGCAGTTCCTCCATTTTTTTTTTACCCTTTTCATGTTTTTATTTTCTTAATCTGAATCTCTTCCCCTCAACACAACTCCTGAACAACAGGTAGTACGATGAACTGCAGTGTTGACGAAGGGTGCAAGTAGAGAACATCCTGAGACAGCTTTGGTAGAAAAGAAATGCTTCCTTTTAATGCAGTTCCACACGTGCATTACACCTATCACAAATTTAGCAGAGATGGAAGAAGGCTGGGTTTCCTGGTGTAGGTTCCTTACTTGCCTGAAGATTGGCATGTTCATATTTACTGCTGTAAGATAAGGTGGTGGTCTTTTTCTCCAAAGTCAATAAAAACATCATTTGCCTAATTATTGGTGCTCAGGTTCCTATTTACTTGAATAAAGCCTTGTCATGGAGAAGACTGTGCATCTTGTCACATACGTGGAATAACTGTGCTGCTTGCAAAGTAGAGTCTCCCAACTACGGCATAGTGTAGTTACTGTAAAGCAATAACTTTCAAAATATAAATTTTTATTAATGTTAAGATCTAGGTTGTGGGACTCAGTGTGCTGAGAATGCAGAGTTTCAAGACTGTTTAAGTGTATGTCTTGGCAGTGCTCTTTTTTTTCTAACAATGTCCTTCTGATTTTCTTCTTCATTAATCATAGATTCCAAGTTAGAAGGTTGGAGCTGGCTGCAGATGGGCAGGGATCTTCGTTTTATACTACTGCGATATATGACTGGTGCCTGGCAGCTTGAAAGAAGAAAATATAATTAGGTTATTTACATTTTTCAAATATATTATTATACTTAATGGAACATGAGAACAGTTTCAATCAAGTGAAGTGGTGATGAAAGCTGAGGTAATTCTTCATTACTCCTCTTGTATGTTTCATTTTTGCAGCATGTATGTGTTTTGTAAGATTGCCGGCAAGGAATTTGTACATTTTGAAAAGAGAAACCATTTCAAAAAAGGTTTTCTTCCCTGGTAATCATTTTTTATTTTATTAGATAGTAGCTTTAACATGTCTTATAAATTAATTCAAATAAATATAGCTGCTTTTGTCTCATCACACTTCTGGAATTTCCACATACATATTAAAAAGAGGTACTCTGTTCTACGTTGTGCAATGTTGTGTCATGAATTACCATAACCATTTGTTTCTGTGATATCTGGAAATTTTAGGCCATATTGCAGCTTGGAATTATCATTCATGGTTCACTCTGATGCATGTTTAGATTCACTGTTATGGGAAACATTAATGGATTTTACTGAGTTATAACAGTAATGTTCTTAAGGTTGTTCTCAGGACTTTCAGTAGTCTCTTAGCATTCCAAATGTTTTTGTCTGAAGCTGAAATAGTTTTCCTGAGATCAAACTGCAGGTCCTGTCCAGACTGTAGAAGGTCCAACAGCAAGTACATTTAGTTTTACAGTGTCGTCTTTTATAAATGTGTTTTGTTCATGTGTATGAATTATTCCTGCCTGCTCAAGGCTAGAAGTCCTTGGCATCTACAGTCTGAAGTGAAGAGGGTATGGAAAGCTAGTTCAGAGCATGCAAAAATGAGACTCGGTGTACATTGAGGGGCTGTGCATTGGCGATGCCAACGTGGTGATGTCACACTTCAATTGAGATCAGAGAGGGAGGGGCAGGTCTTGAGTCTGTCATAGTAATGTCATACTGTGTTACAGGACAGTAACATAGTGGCATTTGTGCTTTCAAAATAGTTGTGGATTTCCAACAAACTAAGCCAATCTGTCTTTCAGAAACATGTACAAATTTGAACTGATGTAAAGAATGAATGGTATATGGTTGTACCTATATAAATATAATGTTACTTTCACATGTAAATTCACTGGTGATTTTTCTTATTCTTTCTGTAATACTGACTTGAGTTTTGCTCCTGTTAGGGTTACCTCAGTTTTCTATCAAGTGCTGGAATAAATTCTCAAAAAATATATTCGGTTTCATTTTGCGGGCTTTATTCTCTTGCCTGGTCCACATACATCTCTGTCACTTCTGCAGAATCAATCACAATTCCTCAATGCCACTACTGGAATAAAATACCAGCTTCTCAGTTTTTGTAAAGTGAATTTCTATGACCAGACCTGAACAGTAATAGCTCTGCTTATAATTGAAGTTGCCCACCAGTTTTCAAAAGCAGATTCCCCAAATTTTCCTCACATCTTACCTTAGAATTGAGCATGTTTAAAATTGAGCATGTTTAATTTCAGTTATGAGACATAGGCCATGCATTATTTTTTGCACAATAATGTTTACTTTTGAATCATATGCCAAAGGTTGGAAGGAGGTTGCTAAATTTATTATATTTTTTTAATAATTTCACAGAATCACAGGATAGTTAGGGTTGGAATGGACCTCTGGAGATCATCTGTTACCCTGCCAGGGCAGGTTACACAGGAATGTATCTGGGTGGTGTTTGAATGCCTCCAGAGACTCCATGGCCTCCCTGGTCAGCGTATTCTAGTGCTCTGCCACCCTCAATTTAAAGAAGTACTTCCTCATGTCATGGTAGAACTTGTGTTTCATTTTATGGTCACTTGTGCATTTTCTACAAACTTTTTTCAGAACTTTGCAGATAAACTTTCCAGTAACTCCTTATTGAGCAGTCTCCTTTAGCAACTGTGTATATGTCAGGCCAACAAAATACTCGATTCCTTCCACTTTAGAGATGTAGAAATAGGCCACATTTACGGCACTTTGTGGAGTTGGCGCTAGAACTTGTTGGCAGGGAATTCTCTTATTGTTTCATTGGATTTGAGCTGTCGATAAAGGTCACTACATGTCTCCATAGTCTGTAGACCCTGAGGTGGACAGACACGGCACTGGTCACATCCATATGTCCCTTCTCAGCTGCCTTTCAAAGCAGGCTTGCTTCTTCTAAACTGCCTGCTGGGGATAGTCCTTGACCTGTACTGACTGCCACACTGCCCAAAAGTATTTTGGGAGCAGAGATAGACAGCTGTGAGACACCTGCTACAGTGTGGGTTGCTTCTGTAGGTGTGACCTGATGCATTCCATTGCAGTGGGGATAAAAGCTGAACTTGAATGAAAAAAAAAGGAGTAAACTGGGACAGAAGGAGAATGGAAGAAGTAAGAAAACGAGACTGATCTGGGGCTGAAAGTCAGAAAGTAAAATGGAAGACATACTTTACCTGAGAAGTATGGTTAGCTTCACCTTCTGTCACTCATGTACCAATCGGAAGTCTTCTGGGTAACATACCCAGCTCCTACCTAGTATTTGCAGATTATGAAATACAAGGCACACAGGCTGTTGCAGGTGACCAGGACACCACCAGGCACATGCTCTTAAGAGAAGTATAGACTCACTCTTGGGTTTAGGTTTTTGCTCTGCTCTGTGTTCCTTCAGGCCCAGCATACCTCAGCTGTTGCACCCAGAATCAAGGGAAGATTCTCCTAAGCACCATTTCAGAAGCAGATGTACTGATTTAATTGCACAGAGCCATAAAGAGAAGTGCTCCTGCTCCCTCTACACCTGTTCTGGCGCTGCTTAGAGGCTCCCTCAAGCCACTTCAGCTCACAAGAATGGCAGGATGCTGTCTTGTTTGCTATTTTTTCCTTTCTTCTGAGGTAGTTTTCTGCCATTTCAGTGATCCAGAATGACTCCCTGAGTGGTCCAGCAGGTACAGGGTGCAGCAGCAAGAGGAGGGCTTCCCCTTTTTACAGCTGTGAACTCACCACAAGTTTAAAGACTGACTTGTCGCTGGAAGCTAGTACACTTTCAAGGACAGGAAATGTGAATTTAAATTCTCCCTTTTTTAAGCCTAGATAAGACCTGAGGTCTTGTTGCCCTTAAAATGAGACCTTTAATTACTAAGCAAGAAAGTCCTGGCTCTGGCTCTTGATGTATTCCAGGGCCTCCCCTTGATTTTACAGTGTCACAACATGGAATGGGAGGCTATGCAGACAACTTCCCTGATCACCAAAGCTGTCGTTCAGATCAGTCCTCTGCCTAACTGGTCCTTGCTCTTCTCTTTAAAGATTTGCAGAGATGCATTTGTATTTCATTGGATTCTTAACCTTTACTATTTCATCCTACCATTGCATTTGCAAGGGTGACCAGGGAGGTGAAAGTCTTCTATGCTACTCACTGTCCTGCATGACCCAGCCCTCCAAAGACACATCAAAACTGCTACTCACTGTCCTGCATGACCCAGCCCTCCAAAGACACATCAAAACAAATTATTCTCACAGACTTCAAAAAGGAAATAAAAACAAATTGAGTAAATTTACATGGTAATTTTGCAACATTCTTAGGAACATCAATGTCTGCATAGATAGTGCTTTCATAAATAGAGATTTCAATTTTTAAAAAATATATTTTATATCTCTGCATAAAAGCCTTACTTTTCTGCACGCTTTGACTAATACTACATAAGAGACTTTTTCAAGCGTTGACTTAATATCAAAGACTTGTCTTTGAAAAATGCATGCAGAAAAAACAAGTCACTGAAAAAAGGTTCAGTAGTTTACACAAGTTTTCTTCACTGTTTTCATTTTTTATCACAACTCAAAGCAACAGCAATATCCCTTGACACACCCTTAGCTTTTATCCTTACTAGCTATTTTATTAAATCATATTTTAAATATCGATCGGAAAACCAGTAAAAATATATCTTTTTACTCTCAGGCAGGTCTGCAGATGTGCAGTATGTTTTCTTTGACAGTTCCAGCAGTTGATATCCCAAACAGGTTTCAGCAACACTGCAGCATTATCACAAGGCAAGGTAAATCTTAAACGAGTAATAACACAGCTTTAATCAGTTTTAACCTATATAAAGTTGTCAGAGATCACTGTTGCGAAGTGTAAGCAGACAAACGTAGAACATGCCTCTACCTCATTCTGCAGAATTGCATTCAGTAATACATCAGTTTGAAACTCTCAAAGCTTCTGTGCAGACCATTCCACCACTGCCAACGTCCAGGTTAGTTTTTTCACCATAGGAAATTAAATTATATCAATATGTATAAGCACAGCAACATTTCCAAGCCATTGAATAGTCCCAGATAGTATTTAACTTGAATTCTCTGCTAATGTTTAAGGCTCTGGAGACCTATCCATAATTATTTATGTACCTATTGTCCAAGTGTTCCATGAGTTCACAGTCATAATGCTGACTGCAAACTAAAAATAGTTGAAATGAAGAGACAGGCAAAGACAGAAGGCTGCAGTGAAGCTTCTGTATCTCAGTGTTTATTACTTAAAATAACATCTAACCTTATTTATGATCCGTGTATGTTTCTTAGGGATGCAGTGGCATGTCTGTAATAGCTCAAGGGGCATGAATTAAAGCAGTGTTCCAGCACTGTTGAAGGCTGCACCCTGCCAGTTGAACTATAAGTTATCTACCTCTTTGGGATAGGGATTTAGAGGTTAAGAATTGGATGCTACTACGACCTGCTTATTACATTAGCCAACAGCACATAAGGGAGTATTGAGCACACAAGCCCTCAGAGGCTCAGGGGAGAAGCTATAGACAAACCTTTGTTTCTTACTGGGAAAAGAAATGGCATTTTCATATGACCAAGCTTAACTAATAGGTGTGAGATCATAGCTGAGAGGGGTGTGCTAGAATATGATTTCATTTAATAGATCCATCAGAAAAGAAAGAGCTAACTAGCCTCCATTTTCCTGGATATTTTTAATCTAGTTTACTTTATATTGTTCATCGAGCTGTTCAACTGCCCAAGCCTTATAATTAGGTATTTCCCTCATGTAAGAAAGAAACAAAACTTCTCCAGTCCTGCTTGCTGGGCTCAGTCTTCCAAGTACCTGTACACTCTTGCAGGTGTATCAGTCTGTAAATCAGTCTGTAAGTTGTCGGTCTGTCTGCCAGATCCTTAAACTACACACATTTACACACACTAACACAGTACGTTTGTGTTAGCGCAAAGAGTAGACCTGCTTTTTGCTAAAGCAAAGTTTTCAATGTCTCACTTTCTGCAGAAGGAGATGAACTCTTGCTGGATGCAGAATCTGCTGGTAATATCACTCCACACCTGAAGTTAAATGGTCTAGCCCATTTCAGATCGGCAGCCAGGTCAGCAGTAGCTCTTCAATGCACTGTAAATGCATGACTGCAGTTACTAGAAATATTCTGACTTACTTGAGGCAAACAGCAGCAAGCAAACGCAGCAGCATGGGCTGTGGGGCAGCTAGGCATGTTGGCCAACTGCAAAGTAAGCATTTCTACAGCAGGGCCCAGTGAAAATGCTTCCAGTTTCTCTTGAGGAAAGCCACCACAAGCAGGGAATACTCCTTTTCAAACTTTCTGCAGCTTCCAGGTATTGCATTAAGGCCTCTGAATTCTCAGACCTTTTCGAAGGACAGCCTACCATCAGCAAGCATATTCAGTCATAAGTACTTTAACAGGCTGTGAGAGGTTATCCTTTGTCTACATTTACTCTACCACACTTTCCAACACTCCCATGCAAGCAGCAAATTCTATAAATAATTTACTTATACTAAACAGTCTCTTTCTACATGTGCACTCAGTATTCAAGAAACAGCTGCAGACCAAACACCCTCCCTAACTGGCTGAGCCACAGGTGATTCTTCTTACCTGCGTGACCTTAACTCCCTCTCAGGTTCATGCCTTAGCATCAGTCAGTTTCTGCCTTCCTTGAGTCTTCATGTTTTGCTGTCAAGATCACTTTCCTCCTTTGAACGTTGATCAATTTGTTGTTTTAGCAGAGTGAACTTCAATGTCTAGACTGAATCCAAGCCTTTGTCACTGGCATGTTCTGTGCAATATTCTTAAAGAATGAGG